AAAACCAGAACTAAACCAGGACTAAACCAGGACTAAACTAGAGCTAAACTAGGACTAAAACCAGAACTAAACCAGGACTAAGACAGGATTAAACCAGGACTAAACTAGGACTAAACCAGGACTAAACTAGAACTAAACTAGGACTAAACCAGAACTAATACCAGGACTAAACCCGGACTAAACTAGGACTAAACCAGAACTAATACCAGGACTAAACCCGGACTAAACTAGGACTAAACCAGAACTAATACCAGGACTAAGACAGGATTAAACCAGGACTAAACTAGAACTAAAACCAGGACTAAACTAGATCTAAACTAATACAATATGACACTAACAGTCTAACTGGACATAATTGTGATTTCATATAAAAATAATTTCTCTATCAATAATATTTTTTATGTGGTCAAGTATTAGTAATTTTCAGCATGTGGTTGTTACATTCATGTAGTTTAAAAAACATGACAATATATATATTTTTAATTTATTTATTAATTGACAAAACAAGTGAAAAAACATGACAATATCAAGTAATCCAAAGTATTCAGATTACATTACTCACTTTAAGTAATTTAATGGATTATGTTACAAACTACATTCTGGGGTTTGTAATCTGTAATCTGTAGGGGATTACATTTTAAAAGTAAACTTCCCAACACTGGCAGTATATTAAAGAATTTGACCTTTAAGGGCACGTGCAATACATTGTAGAACAGCACTTTATAACACGGGTTATTTAGCAATCTCATTTTACACTTTTTTGGGGTTTTTTTTAGGGTTGTGCAAACTCTAATCGCAGATACAAGCGCTCGAAATGAGTTTCCTCCGCAGGGTGTCTGGGCGTCTCCCTTAGAGATCGGGTGAGGAGCTCAGTCACATGGGAGGAGCTCAGAGTAGAGCCGCTGCTCCTCCACGTCGAGAGGAGCCAGTTGAGGCTCGGGCATCTGTTCCGGATGCCTCCTGGACGTCTCCTTCAGGAGGTGTTCTGGGCATGTCCCACCGGGAGGAGGGCCCGGGGAAGACCCAGGACACACTGGAGGGACTATGTCTCTGGGCTGACCTGGGAACACCTCGGGGTCCCCCTGGAAGAGCTGGAGGAAATGTCTGGGGTGAAGGAAGTCTGGGAGTCCCTGCTTAGACTGCTGTCCCCGTGACCCGGCCCCGGATAAGAGGAAGAAAATGGATGGATGGATGGGTTGTGCAAAGTATTGTGTGCAATACTTACACACTGGCACCTTAACTAAACAGGGCAGCGTGCAATTTTGATCAAATAATTGAACATCCTTTAGTTGACCCGTGTCTGTGATCTTGAACAGCTCTTTATGTCTTTTTGTGTTATTGTTATTGTCTGTCTGGGTGTATTGTTTTTACTGTGTGTATTTGTTTTATGATTACATCATCCTGTCCAGGGACAGCAGACGGAAATTTGCCTTGGGCTAAAATCTGATAAAATATTTACATATCACGTACATGTTCATTAATGTGTTTTGTCCCTATTTCAAATAAATAAATAAATAAAATAAAATAAAAGTGCACCTCCCAAACGGAGCCCTACTCGTGCGCTGTGAGACCCCGACTCTACTGACAATATTCCATGGAAAAATGTACGGACACGACCTCACAAATATCTCATCACCAACAAGCAAAGAGAAATCTGAAACAAACTTCTACATCACTGTTATTCACTAAACAATCATCTTAGAAGAACAACGGACACAAACTGAAAAATGCCCAGACAAAGAATTCATAAAACATAAACACAACTTCTGATCCCATTTGACCCTTTCTTATAAAGATGTGTTGTTTGGTTTTTATAGTTTGCATCATATGAAAAGTAAACAATATTATATCATTAATCTTTAAATCAATAAATTTAGATCAGCTGGTTTCATGGGGGGGACAGTTTCAAATCAGACACCAGCAAATGTGATTATAATTGTGTTGAATAAAACAGGGGCCAGTTGTTCGTTTGTTTGTTTTCTGAGTCTTTGTAAATGGAAAGAAACATGTTAAAAATGACAAAACACTTTCCTGCTCGTCTCTGTGGAAACGACTGGAATATTTCATAGAGCGACCAGAATTTCAAAATTAAAAACCGGGACACTCCCGGTTTGAGGAGACTGGTAATAATTGGAGCTGTGTAATAAATAGAGTGTGCAATAATGGGAACTGTGCAATAATGGGAACTGTGCAATATGTGGAGTGTGCAATAATGGGGAATGTGTAATGATTGGTACTGTGCAATGATGGGAAATGTGCAATAATTGGAACTGTGCAATAATGGAAACTGTGCAATGAGTGAGTGTGCAATAATGGGAACTGTGTAAGGAGTGGAGTGTGCAATAATAGGGACTGTGTAAGGAGTGGAGTGTGCAATAATGGGGACTGTGCAATAATAGGAGCAATGTAATGAGTGGAGTGTGCAATAATGGGAACTGTGTAAGGAGTGGAGTGTGCAATAATGGGAACTGTGTAAGGAGTGGAGTGTGCAATAATGGGAACTGTGCAATAATTGGAAATGTGTAATAATTGGAACTGTGCAATAATGGAAACTGTGCGATAATGAGTGGAGTGTGCAATAATGGGAACCGTGCAATAATTGGAGCTGTGTAACGAGTGGAGTGTGCAATAATGGGAACTGTGCAATAATGGGAGCTGTGCAATAATGGGAGCTGTGCAATAATGGGAACTGTGTCATGAGTGGAGTGCGACCTGTCTTACCAGCTAGTAAAATCTCGCTGCTGTTGAGAAAATAATCCCTCAACATGCGAAGACTGATGCAATGCAAGTTTAGTTTTATTTCAAACACAGACATTTACATGGACAGTCTGGTGTAATAATAGATTTTCTTCGGGTGTTTTGTGGAGTGGGTAAGACTGTTTTTAGCGTCAGGATAAACTATGACCATTGACATGCACTAGTCTAGCACCAGCGACCTCTGCAAATACAAGGACTGGATGGAATTTTTTTTTTTAAAGTGTCTCCGCACGTCTCCAACACTCTGGCTCATGAGGAAATGAGGCCCTACGTCCAAAATTCCGGACTGTCCCTTTCACTTGAAAACACAAACACAACTCCAGGTCTGTTTGTGATGAGGAAACAACATTAGAACATTAGATCAGAAAATTGCGTGATATGGGCCTTTTACGTGTATTTGAGCAAAGTTTGTCTTCCTCGAGTACAAATATGTGGTATAAGCAACTCTTGAGGTCAAAATAAGTCTGCTGTGTGCTGTCTGCATCTAATTAAAAAGCATTTTTTTGTCCTAGAACATTGGGATGTGCGTTGTTGTTTACCTTGCTTCACCATGTCTGCAAAACCCTCGCTCAGAAAAGCTCTTTTAAACTCATCGTGGTGAATGTTTACGATCCTCTGAATGCAGAAGGTAAGTGAGAAAGAACTTTGGACCACTGCAAAACATTTAAAATTAACTACTTTTGTTTTTTATGAGTTTATGATAACAAAATAATATTAAATTTAAAAATGACATAGGCTATTCTGCTTTTTCTGGTATTTTTACTTTTCTGGTTGAGGTTCCGTCAAATATTTCCCCCATGAAGATGTTACTGCTTTGTCTGGAATGTTTCACAGTGTGGCTTTAAAGCTTTCTGTCTTCACGGAGACCAAACCGGACCAAGTTACAGGTCAGATCTGTGGAGAGGCGACACCGCTCACAGTCAGAATGTTGTTTTTCTAGGTATTTTTGAGCGATAAAACCAGCTGTAATTGAATAAATGTAAAGTCGAGCTGGTTAATGTCGCACTGTGGGACATTTCAGGCAGAAGTAATTGAAAAATACATTCACAATTATGAAATTCAGAGTACAGTTACTTTCCAAAAATTAAGGGAAAACATGGCGGGACTTCATCATAATGTCAGTGATAAAAACAGTGATAAATAAATACAAACAGACAATAATATAAAACTGCTTTAAGTATAAGTGTAAGTTTAAGCAGAATAATAATATAAGTATAATAATGGCACAAGTCTTCATAGTCTCTTTACAAACACGTGTTAATGGAGTTATTCAGTTTTCTATCACTACATTTTCAAAACAGTCTGACCATCTCAAAGTCAAAATTTACCTTTTTACAACCGTGATACAATTACAGAAAAATATAACATTGAAATAAATTATTAAATTGTGAGGCCAAAATCTTGAACTGAAACGAATTTATATTAAATTACGTCAAAAATCTCGTCTTGTGAATCTGATCTCGCGCCTCCTCCTCCTGAGAACTGAGTCTCCTCCCATCCTCACTGTAATAATGAAAATAATCTTAATAATCTTAATAATAATATAAATCTCCTGTTCGGCCTGTGACAGGATGTGTCTGCATCACTGTGCACTTTTGTCCGTGATGAAGCTCTGAACAATGGACTCAGATTTAACCTTTACTGTGACGAATAAGAAAAAACACCAGAGTCTGTCTGTGCACAAAGACGCAGAGCGCAGCTCTCACTCTGACCTTCAAACACAAAGCACCTGAGCAGCGGCTCCAGCAGCGGCTCCAGCAGCGGCTCCAGCAGCGGCTCCAGCAGGCCCCCCGCCCCGCTCAGACCGAGCACCGCGCTCCTCCGCGGGCCTGAGCACTCACTGAGCCCCGGTCCTGCTCTGGTCCTGGGGTTCTCCACACCGCTGTGTGTGTGTGTGTGTGTGTGTGTGTGTGTGTGTGTGTGTGTGTGTGTGTGTGTGTGTGTGTGTGTGTGTGGGGCAGTAGGGGGTGTGGGGGGTGTACAGTGTAGCAGATGATGGGCTGAGCCCGTGGTGCGTTCAGGGCCCTCTGTAAACCTCTGTAAACCTCTGTAAACGTCTGAAGCCCTCTGTAGCGCGCGCGCACACACGGTGGGTGAGCGCGTGAGGGGGACGTGATAATCTCTTGTTTGGTTTCACGCGCGAGCTCTGACATTATTGGCCGTCGTCACCTCGAGCCTAAACGTGTCGCGAGCTCTGATTGGACACTTAGGCCCGGGTCTGCGTGTGCGCGTGCGTGTGTGTGATGAGCTGTGAGCTCGCGCCGACCGCAGCCACTCACCATGACGCGGTGCGCAGCGTGCTGCACGCGCCCCGCAGGACCCGTGGACATGTTTTAGACTCGGACCCGCCTCGGACCGTGGACCAGTACCAGGACCGTGGACCCGCTCCGGACCAGGACCGGACTGAGAGGCGGGACATGGAGGAGCGGCGCGGCAGCGCCTCGGACAGCGGCGAGGACAGCGCGTCGCCGCCGCACCGCGTCACCAACTTCTTCATTGATGATATTCTGAGGCCGGACTTCGGCCGGAAGGACGCCGCGCGGCCGCACGGCTCGGGCCGCGTGACCCTGCGCCTGCACGCGCCCGGGACTCCGTGCCGGGACTCGAGCTCGAGCTGCAGCAGTGACTCTTCCCCCGCGTGCCCCCGGAAGAACGGGGAGCGCGTGGAGCCGGGGCCCGCGGTCGCGAGCGCACCGGGAGGAAAAGGCGAGGAGCGCACGAGCGCCGCGCAACAGGACTGTCCGGGCTCCGCGCGCACCCCGGGGCCCAGCCCCGAGAGCCAGCCAATGCTGTGGCCCGCGTGGGTCTACTGCACGCGCTACTCGGACCGGCCCTCATCTGGTAAGAGGCGCACGAGCCCCTGCACCGCACGAGCTGCAGGACGCACACACGGCACGAGACACGGGGCACGAGCACGAGGCTTTCACTCTTTTATTCTTTTTAAGACGCTTTGTTATTTTAATATCGTCATGAAAATTTGTTTTAGTGCGCAGTGAAAGAAAAAAAAAAACACTGTAAACTGGAAAAAGGGAAAATACATTTATAAACTGTAATTTAAAATAATAAAATAATAATCCTCGGAGTGTAAATCACGTGCGTAAATTGACAGAAAATATTATTGTACTGGATTTAATTTATCTCGAGTGAAAGTCTCTTTATTCCTCAGTGAGTTCTGCTGTTTTCTTCTTCTCTCTGAGACACTTTCTCCGTGTCTCGGCCTGTTTCTTTTTGCTGCTGTAAAACCAAAAGCCGCGTGCGCGTGTACGTGCGCCGAGCGTGACCCGAAACACGAGCCTCACACAGACTCTGCTGAACACACCGACTCTGCAACACCTTTTTAAATACATTTACATTTAAAACAAATTATATCTGTGCGCTAAATTAATTTTCACTTAACGTCGCTACGTCAGAAACCTTTTGGAACCCAATGACGTCCTTGTGTAAAACACTTTGGAACTGTAGTTTAATTGGTAAAATAAATAAAAGGTGGAAAAAAAAGGCCAATAATAATAATAATAATAATAATAATAATAATAATAATAATAATAATAATAATATGTTTATTATTCTGAATATTATCAAGGCGATTTATTTTGGTTTTGTGCCAGGATTTGAAAGAATAAAACTAGAATTATAATTTTTTTTATATTTATTTTAAAATGTATTTTAATTTTGAATCATTTTTTGTTTCTATTTTTCTTTTATTTTTATTTTTATTTATTTTTTTTTTTTTTTAAAGATCAAATTTTTATCACGTGTAGGAATATTTTTACGTTTAGATTTTTACGCTGTCACGTTTCTAAACATTTCTGTGCGTTACATTTTCAAAATAAACAGCTTTATCGAAGTGAAATTAGGATTTTTTTTTTTTTTTTTTTTTTTTTTTTTTTTTGAAGTGTTCAGCGTTTGGGGAGGATTTGTCTAAATATTTCCAGCTGCAGTTTGTTATGACATAATTACAAATCGTCGTCCTTGTTCAGTTTGGAGCGTTACGCAACGACGTTTACGCGATTTCCCTGCTTAAATCCGGCTCCGTGTTGTTGAGCTGATTTGTTTTTTGATCACGGCTGAGTGCGGAGCGGTTGTGTACGGTTACGGTGACCGGGATGCGTAAAGGAGCGTGAGGGAAGCTTAGAGTCTTACCGGGTGTTCAACCGGAACGACATGACGCCTTTCACGTCTGCCCATTGTTCTTTCTCTGCACGTTTAACGACGAAATCACCCGACAGAAATCGCACGTCTGGTCACGTTTTTGCGCGTATTTTCATTCCGATTACGCTTTGAAATTACGCAGATGTTTATTTAGAACTGCACCATCGACTTTTAATCGAAATTCAGCACGTTAATGTCCAGAGAAGTTCGAGACTTTTGCGTAAAATTGTCTTGTTTAGCCAATTATTCCTGAAAAACATTTTGAATTTGCGTTCCAAAACACTGAACTGATTAGAAACTGAAAATTTGTTTTATTTTTTTCACTAATCGCCCAGATCCGTATTCACACCTTCTTTTATCAGCAAATAATCACAATTAATTACGTAGACAGAGGCTTTAAGTGTCTTGTTTTTACGCATTTCTTCAATCCAACGCGTATTTATCCAATTTTCACTCGACTTTTTCATATTTAGCGCGTTTAAAAGCATTTTTTCCTATCAGTCTTTACGTATTTAAGCTCGTTTTGTTCCTTTGTCATGCTCAATGTCGTAGCCACGGGCATGTGCACACACGCTGTTTTCTTGCTGAATAATGGCCAAGTATAAACACGATTCTATTTATACTTTTAGTTCTTTGGCTACTTTATATTTACATCGCCTTTGTTGGTGTTTTGTTTCGTTTTTTCGCCACATTTTTAACATTTCATCACTTTTTTGTTTGGACTGTTACATTGTTGGTGTAGTGAACAAAAACATAAGCATTTTTTCCCCAATAAAGGCCTAAAATCTACAATAAACAATAAAAATATAAGCAAAGAAAACCAGAATCCAAATCTGACGCACGGTCGTAACCTTGCGTCCAGCCTCTACCCAAACACGTTTTGCAATTTACGTTTTACTCAGAGTCTCCTGTCGTGAAAATGATTATATTCCGTTGTGTGTGAGGATTTTGCGGCTCTGAAAACGTACAAACAGCTAAACATTTGCGCAGCGGCTCGTGTAATAAACCCGGGACTGTATCGTGCGTAAATCTGGCGCCCGAGCTGATCCCGTAATCCACGTGTGACGCTGATCCGCTCCGCTCTGTAATGCGCATTCAAAGTTGTGCACATGAGCCTGTTGGGTGAGATTAGAGATTAGATAAATGTGTATAAAACCCGGGAAATACGCGAGAAATGCTGTGATTATAAAGAAAATGAACGATGATTTTTTTTAATTTTTTATTGTTTTTTGCTTTTGTTTGTTTGTTTAATAGAAAGGCTCTCAACAAAAACGGTAAACAACTGCAGTGATTTTAGGTTAACCCGTGATGTTAATTTGCTTTTGTAGCGTCACGAATAGTATATATGTCTCATAATATACTAAAATATTAATTATGATCAATACTTTTATTATAAATCGCCAAATATTACCATTTTTTTTTACGGATTTATGACTTCCGCTAGAGCAGAAACAGATCACCCACTATAATCTATTTAAACTGGGTTAAATTTGTGCAGGAAATATTAAAAACAGTTCATTTTAGTGTGTTGTCGTAAGAAAATAATAATACACACACATTCAGGGCCGTCGTTTGGAGCCAGAGCTGTGCGTAAAAGCGAAAAAACTAACAAAAACGGACAAACAAACCAAAAACGAACATTAAAGCAACTCTCTTCGACTTTTACAGGTTTAAAATATAAATAAATATAACACAAAATGAATTAAAATGTAAACAAAGCAATGTAGGCTGGTTTAGAGATAAAAACAAAGCGTCTATTCTACCGTGCGCATTTTACGCATTGTGCCAATTTGTGCCATGTGCCAATTTGGACATAACACATGCACCATTTATACAAGTCAGTCTTTAAAACGTGTCAAATGTTAATACATAGGTCTGGAATTAGAATAAATAATAAACCTAATAATTCCAATTCATTTTAATATTATTGGTTAGTCTTTTTGTTTTTTATTTCTACATTTTTTCGACGTAAAGCTCGACGAAACATGGCACCACATTGAGGAATTAACCACGTATCCAACCAAATCCAGATATTTTTTGTTTTGTTTCGCTATTTCAAACATATTTTTTATGTTATATTTCTTATAATTCATGTTTTGTTATGAAAAAGTGTTACTATAGTGCGTAAAAAGGTGATTTGTCTGGACGCAGTGACTTTGACTGCGTTGTTTGAGAACACTGCTTCTTTTAAAATACGCTTCTGTGCCTTTTTTTAAAATTTTATTTTAATATACAGGCCTATACATAAAATAATCTTTAATAGGTTAGTGTAGGTGTATGATTTTAGATGATTAAGGTTGTGGGTTTATTTCTCAGTTTGGTTTTGTTTGTTTGTTTGTCGTGCGTAATGTGCGTATTGTGCGTAATTTGTGTTTGGCCCGTGTCTTTCTTTTCTCTTTTCTGTTTCTGTTTTTGTCCATTATCATTTTTTTTTTTACCTTTTAGGAAACAGACTTTCGACTCTACAAATTACCAACCTAACCTGAGACTAATCCTAAACCAAAACAAATTTAAACGTACTCCATTCCAACAAACCTGTGTGTAACCTAGAAAACAGACGACCGCTGTTACGCATGGATGTCGTGCGTAATTGTTGTACTTTTATCCAGGTTAATTTTTAAACATTTAATTTCTTTGTTTGCATTTTAATTTACTTTCTTTCCACAGACTACAATGCACATTTGAAACACGATACTGGCAATAAAACTGTTTTCATTTTCTCCCTAAAGCTTAATCTTATACGTATTTATTTGTAAAAGAACAACACAACACGCGTAAACACACACGTTTCAAACTCTATGGATGAAAAAACGAACTGAAATAATAACACAGGGGCAATTAAAATACGTAGGCTTCCTGAATCCTAAATAATTAAGGTCTGCAGTCAATTTACAATAAAAGTGATTTGTTTTGTACCATTATAGGCTACGAGGTTTACGCGTAATCAGATTTTTGTTCAACATTTTCGAGGATTTTCCCATTTAAAAATACATTTTACTTACTTTTTTATTATTATTTTGAATTATTTATCGTTATGGCAGCTGTATCTTTTGTCAAATTTCTGAAACCAGTGACTAAGGTAGCTTTATTTTTTACATTACATGGTTACAATCTAAAAATTCACGTATTTTTGCATACTTTATTACAAATTTTACGTGTTTTTACTTCACCTGAAAACACATCTCCCCCAATTCAGAGCTAAAAGTGTGTGTTTTTGTTTGTAAAATGCTTAAATTCGTAAATGTAATCTGTTATAAAGCGCTACATGGGGTGCGGAGCTGGAACGGGTCACTCCGCGCCGTGCGTAAAAAGCTGCGTAAAATCGGCACTCGCCCCGTCTCCAAAAGGTCACAGGAAAATCCAATCTCTTCCCTCTTGGTATTTAACGGGGTTTCGGGTTCTAATCTGACACGTGCTGGAACCCCAAAGAGCTCCTTTAATTGTCTCCGGTGCTCTCCACGTGCACAATGTGATTTCGTTCAACGTGGATGCGCTCGAGAGCCCCGCGCGTAAATGACGTGCCCCCCTCCCCACCTCACTCCCGCCCCCGCGTGCCGTGCGCCCAGGTGGGAACAGAAATGACGTGCCAACTTTGTAATTATAAAATGTATGGTTTTTGGAAAAGGGGGGTGTTTCTAGTCACTCAGCGTTACGCGTTTTAACGTTAAAAAAAAAAAAAAAAAAAAAAAAAAAAAAAAAAGCCTTTTCAAGAAATAGGGCCCAAAGTTTTTTTGTTTTTTTTTTTAAATCGGATAAATTAACATAAAACTTGAAATAACCTAAAATTATCTGAAAAAAAAAAATAATAATAACTAATCATCTCAAAGGCCTATATTTCTACGAAGTAATCACTTACGTCACGTCACGTCACCTTACGGACATCTTACGCAATGATCGAAGAAATAGGGCCCAAAGTTAAAAAAAAAATAAAAAATAAAAAATCTGATAAATTAACATAAAACTTGAAATAACTTAAAATTATCTGGAAAAAAAAAAGTAACTAATCATCTCAAAGGCCTAAATTTCTACTGTCATGTTACGTCACCTTACGTCACGTACGGACACCTTACGTAACGATCGAAGACGCAAACCTTCAAAATTTGGGGTAATTCTAAAACAGATGGAAAAACTGGGAACTAAACAAAACAATGCGATACGATTTTGTTACGAAATTATTTACTAGTGTCTTACGTGTGTCACATTTAACATCGTCAACACGGTTTTAAAGGACTTTTTTTTTTTTTTTTTCATCACGTATTTGCATTAAAAAAATAATAAATCAATGAATTATTATTATTATTAGTAATATTATTAGTAATAATTATTATTAGTAATATTATTATTAGTAGACCTATATTTACTGACCTCATTGTGTAATTATTTAGGAATTTTTGGTAAACTGTGTGAACATATAAAACCAAGAATCCACACAAAAAAATTAATAAAAAAAATATATATATATATATTATATATATATTCACTATTTTTGAACTACAAAAAAAATATAAATAAAAAATTATTAAACCGAGTGTGAGGTTTAGGTGTACAGAAGAGACTGTTAAGTGGACATTTTGAGTCTGAGTTTGAGTTTTCCTGCGGTACCTAAAGGGACCGAACAAGATTTTATGAGACAATATTAACACAAAATTGAAAAAAAGGAAGAGGAAATTAATCTGTGTATCATTCATTCATTTGTTTTTAAAAGTAAAAGCAAAAATAAGAAAAAAAACTATTTTTTTTCTTAATTATTTGTCTCCAAAACCAAAATGGAAATTTAAAAAAACTGATAATTTTTTTCAGTTTTCAATTTTGTGTTTAAATGAAAAATGGAAACAACATGTAATGGACTGAACCAGGACTAAACCAGGACTGAACCAGGACTGAACCAGGACTGAACCAGGACTGAACCAGGACTGAACCAGGACTGAACCAGGAGTGTCGGGACGGGCCTGGAGGTTCGTCTGCATAGACTCTCTGGTGATCAGGACTGAGACTGCGACCAGGACCAGGACTGAGGCCAGCACTGAGACCAGCTTAGTCCTGTTTTAGTCCTGGTTTAGTTCTGTTTTAGTCCTGTTTTAGTTGTGTTTTAGTCCTGATTCAGTTCTGCTTTAGTCCTGGTTTAGTCCTGATTAAGTTCTGTTTTAGTCCTGTTTTAGTCTTGATTAAGTTCTGTTTTAGTCCTGTTTTAGTCTTGATTAAGTTCTGTTTTAGTCCTGGTTCAGTCCTGATTTAGTTCTGGTTTAGTCCTGATTCAGTCCTGTTTTAGTCCTGGTTTAGTCCTGTTTTAGTCCTAGTTTAGTCTTGGTTTAGTCCTGTTTTAGTCAGTGTTTAGTCCTGATTCAGTCCTGGTTTAGTCCTGGTTCAGTCCTGATTTAGTTCTGTTTTAGTCCTGGTTTAGTCCTGATTTAGTTCTGTTTTAGTCCTGGTTTAGTTCTGGTTTAGTCCTGATTTAGTCCTGATTTAATCCTGGTTTTGTCCTGGTTCAGTCCTGATTCAGTCCTGTTTTAGTCCTGATTTAGTCCTGGTTCAGTCCTGGTTTAGTCCTGATTCAGTCCTGGTTTAGTCCTGATTTAGTCCTGGTTCAGTCCTGGTTCAGTCCTGGTTTAGACCTGGTTCAGACCTGGTCTCTGTGCTCTGACTTCAGTTTTGTGAGCACAGAAAACTTCAGTTCACACATTTATGTAAAAGTGAAAGAAATAAACAGAGAAACACTGGACCTGCTGAGGACCGGAGATTCAGACCAGATGTTTATCCAGAACGACGATAAGATCCACAAACCCTAACCCATGTACAGAAATGTATATTGCAGATCTAAACGCAGATCGTGACAGGGTGACCCCAAAAAAAAAAAAAAAATAAAATAAATAAATAAAAAAATCGACCTGACTTAGTCTTTGAGAAAAAATGTTTTAAATTTCTCGTACACTCTGTTTTCTGATGTTCTAATGTCTTTTCCTCGTCACAAACAGACCTGGAGTTGTGTTTTGTTTCATTCACACATGTTTAAAACAGAAACCTGCAGATCCGTTTCTTCTTTCAAACTGAAAACACCTTGTGATGTCATGAGGTGAACTCCACACACCTTCACTAGAATCATCTGGGTGATTTCAGTCCTGGAATTAAAGATCAACACTAAACTAAAGAGTCTGTGTGTCATTCGTTCATTTGTTTTTTCAAAATAAAACCAAAAGTAAGCAAAATGAAAACACAGCTGTTTTCTTCATTATTTGTCTCCAAAACCAAAATGAAAAAACAGAAAATGATTCGGTTTTTTTAGTTTTTGTGTTTAAATGAAAAATGGAAAAAACAGATAACGGTTGTTTCCCGTTTACGTGACTTAAACTGTGATGCCGGACTGAACCAGGACTGAACCAGGACTGAACCAGGACTGAACCAGGACTGACCCAGGACTGAACCCAGGACTGACCAGGACTGACCCAGGACTGGACTGACCAGGACTGAACCAGGACTGACCAGGACTGAACCAGGACTGACTGAACCAGGACTGACCCAGGACTGAACCAGGACTGAACCAGGACTGAACCAGGACTGAACCAGGACTGAATCAGGTCCGGGACCAAGACCAAAACTGAGGCCGGGACTGAGATCAGGAGCAAAGCAGGACCAGACCAGGACTGAGACTGGGACTGAACCAGGACTGAATCAGGTCCGGGACCAGACCAAAACCAGACCGGGACTGAGACCAGGACCAGACCAGGACTGAGACCAGGATTGAGGCCGGGACCAGACCAGGACGAGACCTTGCTTGAGACCAGGACTGAGGCCGGGACTGAGACCTGGACCAAAGTGGGACCAGACCAGGACTGAGACTACGACTGAACCAGGACTGAACCAGGTCCGGGACCAAACCAAAACCAGACGGGGACAGAGACCAGGACTGAGTCCGGGACTAGGACCAAAACTGAGACCGGGACTGAGACCGGGACCAGACCAGGACTGAGGCCGGGACTGAGGCCAGGACCAGACCAGGACCAGACCTTGATTGAGACTGGGACTGAGGCCGGGACTGAGACTGGGAGCAAAGCGGGACCAGACCAGGACTGAAAACGGTTTAGTTCTGGTTTAGTCCTGTTTTAGTCCTGTTTTAATCCTGGTCCAGTCCTGGTCCAGTCCGGCATCACATTTTAAGTCACAGATATTGCATTATTCATTTAAACACAAAATCATAAACTGAAAATACAAATCATTACCTGTTTTTTCATTTTGGTTTTTAGAGTCAAAATAATTTTTTATTTTTTTTTTGGTTTTCTTATTTTTGGTTTTATATTGAAAAACGAATGAACGAATGACACAAAGATTCTAAAGGTAAAAGGAGCTGTTAACTTGAAAACTACAGCTGCACGACGTCACAGAGATGAAGAATCAAACATGTGAATGAACCAAAACACAACTCCAGGTTTTTTTTTGATGAGGAAACATTATTATAACACGTCTTAAAGCTCACGTGAATCCATTTTGTGTAATATAGAACCTTTAACAAACACTGTATCCACTGTCGTCCCGGTTCTGATGTTGCATATTCACATTCCCGCTTCTCTGTTCGCTCCCACTGCAGGCCCACGGACGCGCAAACTCAAGAAAACCAAGAGTGGCAAAGAGGACAAGCGGCCGCGCACCGCCTTCACCGCCGAGCAGCTCCAGAGACTCAAGAGCGAGTTCCAGCTCAACCGCTACATCACGGAGCAGCGCCGTCAGAGCCTGGCCCACGAGCTCAACCTCAACGAGTCCCAAATCAAGATCTGGTTCCAGAACAAACGCGCCAAGATCAAGAAGGCGTCCGGCTTCAAGAACGGCCTGGCGCTGCAGCTGATGGCGCAGGGGCTTTACAACCACTCCACCACCACCATACAGGACGATAAGGAGGACAGTGACTGAGGAGGAGGAGGACGGGCGGGGGTCGGGGGGCAAACGTGGACTGCAACAACTTGAATCTGTCCAGGTTATAATGACTTGAGTTACCAAAATGTTCGTTTGGTTTGAGTAAAGTTCACGCGTAAAATGATCTGCCAGTGGTACGAGTTGCCTGATCAGCCAGTTCGAAACCTGAACGGACGAAGGATGCAAAGATATCCATACCTCTCCCCGTATTTTCACGATATTTTCTGGAGGCCAACAAAACTGTGAATGTTTGTTTTCCTTTTAAAATGCCTTGAAACGTCTTTAGTTTTCTTTTAAAGCAAAGAATTATGGTTTAAAAGTCTTTCAAAACATGATTTCTACTTGCACTTTGCTCTGAAACAGCAAAGGATCATGGTCTTTGTGGTTCCATCTGTTTGTTGACAATGAATTTAAGCCAAGAGACTCGTAATTTCGATGTGATTTTGATGGCCCACGATATTATTATGACACTTTTGACGATACGATTTCATGATTTTTCACTAGAAGAGACTGAAACTGGACCACAGAGCGTGAAAAACCTCCGTCTAAACGTGACATGGTCCAACCACAGATGCTTGTTTGTATCGTCCAAAGGATCATGGTCTTTGTGGTTCCATCTGTTTGCTGACAACGAATTTAAGCCAAGAGACTCGTAATTTCGATATATTGCGATGGCCCACGATAATATTATGACACTTTTGACGATACGATTTCATGATTTTTCACTAGAAGAGACTGAAACTGGACCACAGAGCGTGAAAAACCTCCGTCTAAACCTGAAATGGTCCAACCACAGATGCTCGTTCGTAATTGCAGAAGACTTCTCCTCTTCCAAAACTCTCGTAGAGTTCAAAACAAAATACAGAACTTCTTTTACCTGAGATAAGTCAAACTTTGGTGCCTCAAGTGCTGATTCTGGAAAAATCCATGCTGTTTTTGAGTCCTTTATGTAGATTTTCGTTGAAATCAGGGAGCTCCAGATCTTTTTCGTCTTTGTAAAGTTTGGTCAAAGCGTGTGGTTCTGGCTGGTCGGGTAACGGAAGAAGTCTTTTTGTACTTAAAATACGGCTCTGGTTAGTCTGGAGATAAGACAAACGACAGCTCTTTGCACTTGAAATAAAAATAAACTAAACTAAGGCTACGTTCAGAAGTGGCTCAAATCCGATTTTTGGCTCCAGTCTGAACGACACAGATCCGATTTTTTTCAAACGCGACCCAGGCCACTTGGATATGTGCTCCTAAAACTTATCTTATCTTACTTATCCGATCCTTTGACACGCAACTTCAGTCTGAACGGCCAGGTCGCGATCGGAACTTGGTGATTTCTGAAACGATCGCCAAAGAAACCGGATCTACAGTCGGTCCTGGCTCCAACGTCAACGAAAAATCAAGACCCTGCGAGCCAAATACAAGGAGGCTAAAGACTTACGTGTAACCTGTCCGTTTTACGAAGATCTGGACCGTATTTTGAGCACACTTTTGGGCCTTTAACTGGAAATGTGAACGACTTCGCCAAAAAAATCGGATTTCACAAAAAATCAAGCCCTGCAGTCTGAACTCAGCCTTAAAGAATTGGAATCTTACGCCGTTTGAATCAAGAAAGACTTGCTCCATTGGTGGATCATTTTACTTACTCAAATCAAGTCAAACAGTTCTTAATTTGAGTCATTTAAACGTACCGAGATAGTACTTTTTGCAGCGTGGGGTCGTTTGGAAAGACGCAGGGAGTCCATGTTATTCTGCGGGGGAAGGTAGAGTTCGTAAAAAAGAAATATCCAAGAGGAAATCCACATGTACTGAGCCTGATAACTGAATTTTTGTGTTGTTTGTAAGTAAATTTCCCATGGATTTTTTTCCCGTAGACTTAACGCGGTTGTTTTAAGTCCAAAAAGCAATTTTTAAAACACAAAACTCGGCAAAATGCTTCAATAACTTCGCGGTTATAACGTGCCAGAAGCAGATTTTAAAAGCCGCTTTCGGACTTTTAAGATATTTTTCGTTTTTTTGTAAAGTCTACGGGAAAAGTTAATGGGAATTTTACTTCGATCACTGTTGAACTCCAGAACACACTTCAATTTACCGTAAAAGTTTCAGAGGTAGAAATCTGGACAGTGTTTTTAAAATCGAGATGTTCCTGCAGCTTCTTAAATCCAGACCGTAAGATACAAAAAGATTTACAGATGGAACTCAGACGTTTTCAATTTCGTAAACCGTTTCCAGATTTCTACGTCTGAAACATTTTCTACCGTGGACAAATGAGGAATAACGACGACTTTATGATTTATATTTAATGCTCTAAGCAGGTCCGTCGACAGAAATCAGGGGGGCTGGGGCCTGAAGACTCACACGGGCCCCCTCAAATTTTAATTCCAACTCTGGGCCCCGGGACTACAGACCACTTTTCCCTGTCAACACCCCTGAGTGTAAAACGTGACTTTAACCATGAGACAGGGGCAGCACCAGCTCTTCCTAGGATGACCAAAGCCCCCCCAAAAAGTCCCCCTAAAGATTTTCACCTCTTTTTTTATGACACATCAAAAAAAAAACATTAAAATTGGAAGTATTTTATTGTTCAAAATGAGGTTACACACTGCAAAAAACTAAATCCAGTCAAAGTTTCATCATAATTTGAGTAAATTTCGCTTGAAAATTTTAATTATCTGCCAGTACAACAAGAGTTTTTGTACTTAAAATGTGAAAATGCATCTTGCTACACAGAAAAACAACTTTTTGCACAAACTAAATTGAAAAACACATTTATTCCTTTGGCAAATAATTTGACTTGTTGAGTGAAATTTACTCAAATCGTGGTCAAACTTTGTTAATTCAAGTTATCTTAACTTGACTAGAAAACAAAATCTAGTCAAGTTAAGATGACTTCAACCAAAAAAACATAAAAATTGGAAATGTTTTACTTTTCAAAATGAGGTTACACACTGCAAAAAAACAAAATCTAGTCAAAGTTTCATCATGATTTGAGTCTATTTTGCTTGAAAACTAAAATTATTAAGATTTTTAGTACTTAAACTGTGAAAATACATCTTGCAATACTTAAAATAAGTAAAAACAACAACTTTTTGGACTTAAAATAAGAAACTAAATCAAGTGTTGTTAGGATTAAGAAAAACTCACTTCTTCCATAAGTAGACAATTTGACTTATTGAGTGAAATTTACTCAAATCGAGGTCAAACTTTGTTAATTCAAGTCATCTAATCTTGGCTAGAAAACAAAATCTAGTCAAGTTAAGATGACTTGAATTAAGCAAGTTTCATCATGATATGAGTAAATTTAAATTATGTAGCAATGGAGCACGACTTTTTGTGTTTAAAATATGAAAATACATCTTATTACACAGAAAAAACACAACTTTTTTGGGCTTAAAATAAGAAACAAAATTGAATGTTACTTGAATTAAGAAAAACACACTTACTCCACTGGTAGAAAATTTTACTTCAAGTCAAGTCAAGTTGAATCGACTCAACTAAAGTCAAATTTGAGTCATTTTAACTTACCGAGATATAGTTTTTTTTTCAGTGCATCTTGTTTCCATGGAGATATTTTTGCTTTGCCTTGAAGTTTTCCCAGTATGGCATTAAAATCAAACTCAATTACAGGTATTTTACTGCTTAAAACTTCTACTACACAAAAAGAAAAAACAAAACAAAACATGCATTTCTACAGTGAGTGAGCTCACCTCTCCACAGATCTGACCTGCACTGCAAAACTGAACATCAAGGTGAGTTAAAATGACTTAAACTAAGAACATTTTACTTTGAGTCGATTCAACTTGACAAGTAAAATTATATACAAATCAAGTCGAGTTAAGACGACTTGAATTAAGAAAGTTTTAACAAGATTTTAGTCAGTTTCACTTGACAAGTGAAGTAAATTATCTGACTTTTTGTCCTTAAAATATGAAAATACATCTCACTACACTTGTTTTGTCACTTGTAAAGTTGAATCGACTCAAATTAAAAAGTAAAACATTCTTAATTTAAGTCATTTTAACTTACCTAGATATTGTTTTTTTCCAGTGCACCAATGGAAAAAGTGTGTTTTTGTTTCGGTAACACTTTAGTTTAGGGACCACATATTAATCGCTTAACTAAGTGGTAATTGGTTTGTTAATTAACTGTTACTTAGCTTTTAGTTTGGTATTAATTAAACACTTATTAAGATTTCAGTGTACGCACGGAAACATCTATTGTGATCTCAAGTATTTTAATGGGAAGAAAATAGCTCATGGGTTTTTACTCGCAAAAAATGGCACTGAAAGTACTTTAAAGATGTAATTAAGCACTTATTATGCATTTTACTATGAACTAGCTTTGAATATGTGGTCCCTAAGTTGTTATTTTAAGATGTATTTTCATATTTAAGTACGAAAAAGTCTCGCTCCATTGGCAGATTATTTCGAAATTCACTCAAATCGCGGTCAAACTTTGTTAATTCAAGATCTAGGTTGGAGTTTTTGCAGCGCGTAACTTGGCCTGGAGGCTTTGCGGGGCTTGTCTCCACGGAAACGGACGCGTTTAATGTCACACTGCGGGACATTCTAGGCAAAAGCAGCGAGTACAACAGTGAGTTCGATGAAGAGAAGCGAAGCAAGCGGCAGTTCGAAGGTTCCGCGGCCGCCCCTTTTACGTTTTTGTCCGCGCGTCACCGGCAGCTGTGGATTTTTCCTTTTGGATATTACGAACGTGTAAAAGAAGTTCGTCTGAGAAAACCAACGGATAAAGACTTCAAAACAAAAGGACTTCACCGGAAACACAAAGAGGATAACTGATACATCGCCGGGAAACTGCGTCTAGATAATTCCCGTTTGAAAACACCAGGAACGTCAACGTTAAGTTTGAGAATAACGGACTTCCACGGTACAAAATAAGCCACACGAGTTGTCCACACTGGAAAAAAACTATATCTTGGTGAGTTAAAATGACTTGAATTACAAAGATTTCACTTTATTTGGGATGATTCAAGTTGTCAAGTAAAATTA